GATAATGTCAGGATTTGGGAATGTATTTTCATCTACTCATTTCTGGTACAGTTTTAAAGATTTTAAACTTCTCTTGATAGTTTGACGAACTGGATTTTTTTCTTTTTTTTTTTTGGATAGGAGTTATTAAAGCAGTACAGACTTTTTGGAGATTTTTTTTAACTTAGGGACTCATAAATTATTTTAGTAATCTAGGCTAACAAAATAAACTGAAATAATAGAAAAATTTATCCCCAATATTTTTAGTACGGCATCTTACATATTGGAGTGAGATGCTTTATTTATAGAAAGGGATGACCCCTTCTGTAGTTTTATTGCTGTGCTAAAATATAGTTAGCTGTAATGGGTTCACATGCGCAGCATCAATGGGGTCGTTAAGTAAATTAACCATTTCTTAAAGCTGCAAGGAAATGGAGTGCTAAGGTCATTAAAATACAAAATTTTCTGTGAACTGTATGATCTTAATTTTTAAAGAAAGCTTAGGAAGAGTAATAGATGGACAGAACAAAAATGGCAGTATTAGCTGTCCGTGTGGACATGCTTTTTCTACCTCTCAACAGTTGCTTCTAAGCAGGATTTCCCTTGTGAGTGAAAACATCTTAAAAAATGGAAGACCCCTTTCAGTTAAATTTTGATAACCTGCTGCTACTGCTATCCTGATACCTCATTTCTGGTTGTATAAGAATAATAAGTAGGTATTGCACCAAGAAAATTGTGACATTAAGTACCACCCATAGTTTTTACATTAAGAATGTACTTGTAAAATAAGGATATGTAAATAGTGAGTAAAATTATGATTTTATTAGTTTATGACATTATTTTAAGCAATTCATTAACAATTGGAATTGGAAAATGACTTCGAAGATCATTTAATTCTACCTCATTTTGTGTATTTCACAAAATACCCCAGAAGAGTATATTACCTAACCAAGCTCATAGTACTCCCCCAACTGCTGTTGACAGTTCTGTGAAACACTTTATTGAATTAATTGGTCTTTTTTAGGTTTAGGTTTAGGAGAGACCTTAAAAATTCATCTCTCCATCTGCTGCCCCTCCTTCTGTTATGTTCTGTAAAGGTTGTTTGTTCCTTCTATTTAAATACTCTGACAAGATTCATGCCTGAAAAGGGCCACTCATTATATTTTCAGAGCTATTTCATTTTTCCATACTTATAACTGAAGTCTGTTTTTTATTAACTTCACCCTGTAATGTAGTTGTGAATAAGTTAACTATAATGGTACCAAAGTACTATTTGTTTAAAATAATCTCCTTGCTTTGTAAAAGATTGTTTTAACAATTCTTAGTTTGGTTTCTGTTGCTGTGAAATACACATTTCTTAGTTCAGATTTCTAATGTGATGAAACACCATGACCAAAAGCTACTTGGGAGGACAGGATTTATTTTGCTACTTCCATATCACAGCTCATCCTCAAGGGACGTCAGGGCAGGAACTGATCAGAGGCCCTGGAGGAGGACTGCTGTGGATTGCTCCTCATGGTGTGCTCAGACTGCTTCCTTACACCATCCAAGACCACCTGCCTGAGCGGGCGGCACCACCTCTGGTGGTCTAGGCCCTCCCAGCCAATCTGGTGGGGCACTTTCTCAGTTGAAGTCTGACTCCCAATGACTTCAGCTTGTGTCAAGTTGGCATGTAACTAGCCAGCATAGCACCATAACCAAAAGTAAATTGGGCAGGAAATATAAAGGATTTATTTCATCTTACAGGTTAAGGCCAGAGCTTAGAGCAGAAACCACAGAGGAAAACTATTGTCTTGCTCGGGTGCCTTTTTGAGAAGGTACAGCTCCACTTGCCCAGGAATGGATCGGTTGGAACCTCCTACTTCAACTAGCAATTAAGAAAATGTCTCATAGACATGACTATAGGCCAATCCGATCTGCTCTTTAGTTGAGGGTCCCTCTTCCCAGGTGACGAGATTTGTGTCAAGTTGACAGCTGAAGCTATGATAAGGCAGGAAAAAATAGCCATCTAGCATATAATAGTGTTTAGCTTTTCAATTTTAATAGTAAAACACATGGTTATGATACCATAAAGGTAATAATTTAGAGAAGAGAAATAAGTATAAGGCAAGAACGCTCTTTGGTGTGTGTTTGGTGCAAGCTGTAGTCATTTCTGTGGAGTTTCTTTGTGGGGGCAGGGCACAGAGACTTAGTTGCTCTGTAGCCCTGGCTGGCCTTGAATTTTGAATCCTGGTGTTTCTGGCCTCCTGAGTGCAGGGATTACAGGTACGAGCTGCCATTTCAGTCTTTACAGTTTTATGATCATGTATCGTAGGCATGGTTTGCATTTTTTTCTATGGATACAAATTAGTTTCTTCTCTTTTAAGCAAGTAAATATTTACTCAGTTTGCTAGCTATGGTAATAAAGAACCATTTTAATTTTTTTTCACTATGTACCATAAGTGAAAGAAGTCTATATTTAGTGTTATTTACATAGCTTTTAGGCAAAGTAAATACCATTTACTGGTGTGATAAATATGTAGAAAGCTTATTCTGCAGTTTTGAAAGTAATATACTGCCATTATCTAAAGTTTTATCTGAGAAACCATTTTCTGTAAATAATTGGTATGTTATTATTCACTGATTTTGACAGCTGGTTTAATTTTTATTTAAATACTGGGTCATCAGTATTATTGAACTCTTGTTTAAAGCTATTAGATCAGGATAAAACCTAGAAAACATGCTTGTGTAGTAAATTTGAATCCCACATTCAGAGAAACGTACATTCAAAATTCATTTCTGCTGTTGTGCAACCTTGGGAAGGTTCTTACCCTCTCTGAGTTAGTATCTTTCTCCCTCTGTGGATAGAGATAGTGTTACTCATTTTTGTCAGCTAGTAAATTTGTTTAGTACCAGAAATTACACAATATTTTTGTAAGACTTGTATTTCTGTCACTAGATCATTAATTAGATTAGATTAAATAAGAGTGTTCATAAAACAGCACAGTATGTAAGTGATTTTCTGTTATTATTAAAAAATTGTAGGTGCTTAAAAAAAAGGTTGTGGAAGGTCAAAATTATGAGAGGATATGTCATTAGCACTTTATAAAGGTTAATTTTTAAAACATACTAGTATCGATAAATTGATATACTTTTAGAGGTGATAGCCCAACTAATAAAAGCATTGCCACCCAAGCTGAGAAACTTGAGTAGGATCATTGGAAACCCCATAGAGAGAATGACTCCGCAAAATTGTTTTCAGACTTCTTCATGACATGCCTACTTGCACTTACATACATTAATACAAAAATTTAAAAGCCGTTGAGGTTGGTACAACAGTGTTTTGAAAATAAATATAAATGATACTGATGCAAATATTGATGTTTCTTTTAGCTATTATCTTTTCAAAGAGGGGTGTTTTGTGTGTATCACTCTATATATATCATACTAGGAGACTGAGAAGTAATTTCATTAGGAAATAATGAAATACTAGTAGACCTGTTAAAGTTCAGAACTGTTATATAATCTTTAAATCCAGGAATCATTTAGACATGTAGAAAAGGTCTTTTCAACAACACAGAAATAGTTATAGACAGACATGATCTGTTAGTTTTTTTAAATGAGCAATGTACATAATTTACCCATGAAAGTTGCTGTTATACTTATGACTAGTCTAGAACTGATGACATTTAAGAATTAGTATTCTATTTCTTTTCTTTTCTTTTTTTTTTTTTTTGCTTTCTGAAGTAGAATTATATATATTTCTTCCACGTGTGTGTGTATGATTCATGGTAGGTAGGCGGTGGATTGGTCTGCCTTAGAGCTGCCATTCTTTTCTGTTCAGAGACAGTCTCAACTGAAGCACACACTGGCCTAGATTTCCCTCTGTAATCAGGCTGGCTTTGAACTCAGAGAGATCTTCCTATCTGAGCCTCCCAGTGCTGGGCTTGCAGGTGTTAGTTATGCCTTGCTGAGACCTGCAATTGTAACAATTATAATATTTATGACAGTGATTAGTAATTGGAATAATGGAGTATGTTTTGAGTTCTGAAACCTTTCCACCCAGAATACATTAAATTAGTGTGTGACAGTTTGTTTACTTAAAGGCTGTTCAGTAGATAGGAAAGATTGCTTTCCCATTTAGAAGTTTGGTTACTCTTAACATAGTTTTGTTAAATTAGTTATTAAGTTTTAGTATTGCTGGTGACATTTTCTTCTAATATTCTATGATATGTGAAGTTTCGTTGTTGTTGGTTTTTTGTTTGTTATTAATGTAAGTGTGCACTGCTTTAGAAATAACTACAAGAGATGGAGAGATGACCCAGTGGTTAAAAGCACTTGGTATTATTCCAGAGGACCCAAGTTGGGTTCCCAGTATGCAAGTCAGGAAGCTCACAACTGATCTAGCCCCAGGTCCATGATATCTGCTGCCCTCTCCTGGTCCTGCAGGCACTTGCACACACATACATGCACATGGAGAAAAGAAAAAGCACTACAGTCCTATCAATTAAGTGCTTACATTCTGTCAGGAGTTCATGCTTACAGTTACCCAGAATCAGCACAACCACGGCTCTTATCCAGGAAGTGTAACTGTGTTGATACCCAACGGGTGGGTAAAGCAAATGTCCCGTGCATATGTGTGGCATTTTATTGAACTGTAAAATACAGTGAAGTCATATTTACAGGGAAATGCATGTCACTGGAAATCATCATAGTAAGTGAAATAACCCAGACTTTGGAAGGAGACATACTGCTTGTCTTCTTTCATAAACAGAACCTAGATTTAAAATTATATATGTATGTAATAATAAAAATGACCTGGTATTGAAAACTATTAAATTTTTTTTGACTTTTTTTTCCAGTGTGGTTTCTAATGGTACTGACTTGATTCTGGTGAATCAGTGTTTATTGTGGCTATAGTATTTATGAATGCATCATCTCAACTATAGTTTGGTACATGGTTATTTAATAATGGACTTGATTTTCATCCATTAGACTATACACACAAGGATTAATTTTGTATTATTTTCTTTCTCCTTTAGTAAAATAAAACAGGGTCTGTTACCTAGCTTGGAAGATTTGCTCTTCTATACCATTGCAGAAGGACAAGAAAAGATACCTGTTCACAAGTTTATTACAGTAAGTTTTTAATATTTTTCTCTCAATGTTCAAAGAAGTAATGCTAGTCAGTTACACACTATTGCTGAAATATAGTCTTCAAGTTGATCTGACCTGTAGGTTCTGACAGTGTTTCTCTTGTTTTCAAATTTTTACCATGTTCACTTCAAGGTGATCAATGAAAGAAAAAGAAAGAGTGAGAAACTTGTTCAGAAAGTGGATAATAGTGATATAAATACTACATACATGATCAAGTCTTACGTAGAAACTTTATTATACAGGAATGAAACTTATAGTTGGAATAAGCATATACATTATCTACGCTGTATATTTACAAACTCTTATTTTTTTAAAAACAGGCACTCAAATCTACAGGATTGCGAACGTCTGATCCCAGGTTGAAAGAGTGTATGGATATGTTAAGATTAACTCTTCAGACAACGTCAGATGGTGTCATGCTAGACAAAGATCTTTTTAAAAAGTAAAAACTTCTGCCAAACCTTTAATGGTGATTTGCTATGCTGTATGCTGATTGTGCTTTTAAAACACGATTTTACATTTTAAAGACCAGTGCTGTAGTGTTACTGAGAAAAGGGATCTGTGAATATTATATCTTTGAAAAGCAGTTATGGCGTGTATTAGAGGTCTGTTATATACTGGGTTTAAATCGGTTGTAATGAAAGTTTGCTATCAATGCTGTTTGTGCCCAGGGATTGTATTCTGTCCGGGTGTTCCACTGTCTGCAGTATTGCTGACTTTCTCAGTTTAGTCTGTAAGTTTATTTCCATGTGGTAATGTAGATGAGCAACATAAGAGGACTTCAGACAGCTCTGTAGTCCTTATATTCATGTATTTGCATGACCTCATTCTCTTTTTCAAATGTATTAATGAATGGATTTTGGGTTGTTCTCTTTTTTTTGCAAAACAGTTGAGAACTTAAGACAACTTTGAGGATTAAAACCTTGATTTGATTGAATGAGAACACTTTAACATTGCTGAATTTACATATCTGTTTCTTAATCTTCTTTACTGTATTTGTATTAGCTTTAATAGAGAATATGCTTATAATTGATCCTAAAGAGTCAAATAATACTTTAATTTATTAATAGTTAATGGAAAGCAGCATAAAATTATAAACAACTGTAAGACAGTTTGTTTTTGTTTTCTAAGCTACAGACTTAAGTTGAGATGGATCCAAGGAATTTCTACATTTAATTTAAAAGTTGTGTGTGTGTGTGTGTGTGTGTGTGTGTGTGTGTGTGTGTGTGTGTGTAATTACCTTTCTTTTCATTGGTGGATTGAATGCTTTGTTCTAGATCTCTCCTGGGGGTATCCCAAAGTCCCTGGGAGGGATACCTTTTTAAGTAAGGTTCTCTGAAGTTTCTGGCATGCTTGTGACACTTGTGCCAATTCTGAATTCTCACCAGAAGGCTCTTGGTTCTCTTGATGCAGCCAACTTTAAAGTGTAGCTGGTAAGCTTACTTTGCAGTTGGTATTAGGAAGTGGAGTCTGTTGACCTGTTCATTTTGTGAAAGGCATGAATTCACTTCTAGATTGGTTTGAGCCTTTGGGGTAGGATTTGTCTTAGGAACTACCTGTGCAGAGTACTCTTTCTTGATTATGGTGCCTTCTGGAAGGTTACTTTAGTTTATCTGTGAGTGTAGTTAATTGATGGTAGGTTGGATTGTGAGTAATTGGTATAGGGAACTGGCTTTGGAATTTTTAACACTAAATTGCACATTTAAACCACCTTTAAAATGTGCTTTATGAACATTGTTTCATTATGAAATTAAAAACAATTTAAATATTCTCTCAGTTATGAACCCAAAGACCCACAATCATAAAGTTCTGTTTGTAATTGAATTAATATATAATGATTACCACAACTTTAAACACAAACTCAAGTTTTAAAAAAAATCTATGATTGTAATATAGGCAATACCCAACCTGACATGAAAACACAGTAGTCTCTAGTGAGTCATTGTCAAAAGATTTTTTATTTTGTTTCTAGAATGAGTAACTCAAAACCTGACTATGAGCATTTTTGGGTCACTTAGAAAGGTGATTACTTCAGAGACATTCCTTCTATGATCTCAAGTATATGAAGTTACCTACTTGAGGTTGTCAAAAATAAACCATCCCATCTCCACGCTGCTGGAAAGGAATTGTTAAAACATGGAATTCCTTTCTTCTGTGAGAAGTAGTTATAAAGGTAGATAATTTAGGTTTGAGTGAAAGTGTTGATATTTAACCTAAAATATATCTGGCAGAGGCCAGAAGAGGGCGTTGTATCTCTTGAAATTGGTGTAATAGACTGTGATGGCTATAAGCCATTTTGTGGGTGCTGGGAATCGAACCAGAGTCCTCTGAAAAGTAATCAGTGCTGTTAATAACTGAGCAATCTCTCCAGCTTTCTGATTAGTTTTAAACACTTAAAATGACAGTGTGGAGAAATAGTAGTGGGTTGATAATTTGAATTTGCTTGTTATTTCCATGTTTTATTTGTAATTTCTTAAAAATGAAGTATATATATTTTTTTTTCAATTTTCTAGTTTTTTGTTTGTTTTTTTGTTGTTGTTTTGTTTTTCTAGATCTCATTACAGATGGTTGTGAGTCACCATGTGGGTGCTGGGAATTGAACTCAGGACCTCTTGAAGAGCAGTCGGTGCTCTTAACCTCTGAGCCATCTCTCCAGCCCGTATATTTGGTTTAAAAATAAGCAGTAATTGCCGGGCGGTGGTGGCGCACGCCTTTAATCCCAGCACTCGGGAGGCAGAGGCAGGCGGATCTTTGTGAGTTCGAGGCCAGCCTGGGCTACCAA